TGACTGAGGGTTTGGACTAAATCAACTCTACTTTTTAATTTAATTTAATTTTCATTTGCTTTATATTTTTATTGAAGTTACTAACAGTTTATTCATGATGTAGCAATTTAGAGGAACGCACGGAATGTGATTAATTAATTAATTTAATTACTCTTATTTTATTTTTATATTGCTAGTATCATGATTAGGGTTATTTTGTATTTGATTTGAATAACTCTATTATTGCTAAATTGCTTCCAATATTAATGCTTATTTTTTATGATCATCATATTGCATGTTAAAGGGAATATGTAATTGTAAATCACGCCTAATAAGTTAATTGGGACAACCGGTTTTGGTTCCTTTTTAATCTTGTTGTTTAATCAAGTGATCAAAATATTTTAGAATTATATGTTGCATTAATATTAAACCAATTTAGCTTAATAATAGTTTGGAGCGAATTGAATATTTTATTTGTATGCCTTTGAGATCGCAGGAATCACTTTTCACTATAAGAATTGAGTAGAGGCCAATACAGGCGAATGTGACTCCATGACTCACTTCGTACCATCATCCCCGATCCTCCTTTCGTGGTTCCGAACCATATGGAGTTAGTAATCTCATGGATTATGAATGGGGTGTAACCTTCACGGGTCAATCGTTGTTGCCTATCGTTGTCCCTTTATCGTGGTTGTCTTTTATGATCCGTGAACGGTTTACAAGTTCCTTAAAAACTTGTTGGCGGCTCCTTACTTTATTTGTCCCTAATCGTTGTCCCTAATCGTAATGTCAATTCCCACTTCCTATGAGTGCCAAGCATATTCACCACATGCTTTTTACGTAGGCGCACTTCGAACGACGCCTACAGTTAATATCTTAGGAAACCCTCACGAGAGCACACTCATCCTCTAGGGCGATCTAGGGGTTTAAAAGGCTTGTCTTTAGTTGCTAAAATTGACCGTGATTCCTACGAAAGTGAGTTAGTGTACATTCTTTCTCTTTTTAGTTTTTCTTGCTTAAATAAATCATTCTCCCTTTCTCTCATGTTTCGTGTTAATTTTCTCGAGGACGAGCAAAAGTTTAGCTTCAGGGAGTTTGACAAGTGACTTTTATGTCACTTTTAGGGTACTTTTATGCCTATTTTCCGGTTTAGTTTCTAATAATTTCCCTCGCTTTACGCTTCATTTCTCTCTTTTTCTTATTTTCCTTATTTGATCTTTATTTTATGTATTTCAGTAGTTTTTAATAGTTTTTATCTTATTTTCTTAATTTATTTAAATTCTCTTATTTTCTATATTTATATTTTAAGTTTTCAGTTCTTGTTATATAATAGTAAAACAAAATATGATGAGTGACATTTATGTCACTCATAGGAAGTAGTTGATGAGTGACATTTATGTCACGCTTAGGGTAGTGTTTATGCTTTGTTTTATCTTGTCTTGAGGTGTTTTGTAGTTGTTTTGTTCAAATAATGCGTTCATACATGTCTCGATGTGTTTTGGATGAAATCGCGTATATGCTTAAATGCTTCCCTTTATTGCGTGTTTTCACCGTTGCCTTTACCTTATTGCTTCCCTTGGTGCTTGTGCTTAGGTATTTGAAGTCTTGGATTGCAAAGAAGATGACAAGTAAGCACGAGAGTAGAATCGAAGAAGCAAGGTGCGAGGGAGCGCAAAATGTGCGCGGGCGCGTAGCCCTGTCAGAACCTGCGCAGAAGGATGTAAATTTCAGAATCGAGGCACAGAGATTTGTGCGGGTTGTGTGCGAACTGTGCGCGGGCGTACACTCCCTTGCACGGGTGCACACCCAAGGCGCGCTGGCGCACAACTAAGCCAGCAAGCCCCAACCCACAAAGGCGCGGGCGCACACTCTGTTACGCGGGCGCACAGATACCTTGTGCGGGTGCACAGCTATTGTGCGCGGGCGCACGGCGAGCCCTTTTTAGCGTTTTTGCGCATATCTATTTATATTCGAGGCTTGTTTTTGTATAGGACCTTTGGAGATTATTAGATCTTTTCTCTAGTTTTAGGAGAGCTTCTCTCTCTAGGTTTTAGCTTAGATTAGATTATTTTAGAGAGAGAAAGTAGATTGTTACTCAGGTTTTGTTATTGTGTTTCACTTTGCTCAAGTTTAATCTTCAATCAAGCAAGACTTCAAGTTTTCATCTTTCATTAATCCTTTCTTTAATAATCTCTAATCTTTTCCTTTAGATTTATTTATTTGCTTTATTGTTGCTTATTTTTGTTAATCTTATTAGTTCATCTAGTTATTTTTTTATTTCATTATTCTTAATCATGTTTTGTTTTGTGTTTCTTGAGTGTATTTCTAGTTTTAAAATTAAGTTTAATCTCCCTTCTCTAGGATAATTTCTTAGCTAGGGGAAGGGGGTGGAAAATATGTGTTGATATTGGATGAATAATGATGGTTGGATTGAACTCATGTCAAAAATTGATGAAAGACATGATTTTTGATAGCTTGAGATTATTGTTGCACATTATTTGATGTTTTCTAGTTTAAATTCATGAAAGTGATTTGAAATAGATTAAGATCATCTCTATTTTAATGATTGCATGAGAATGAGTTATTAAAGTGGAGTTTTATGGATTGTGCTTCTTTATTCTCTTGATTTGATTGTAACTAATAGGATGCATGAGAATGATCCTTATTAGTATAGACCTTTTTCATTGATTTGCCTAGACTATTGCATGAGAATGAATTGTTTAGGTAGAATCTTGTGTTCTTTAGCATGTTCTTCATGATAATCATTATTATTCCCCTCTTTCTAATCATATATGACACCCTCGTATCCCTAGCGTAGTTCTCTCTTTATTTTAATCATCATCTTCTTTGCTTATTTGTAGTTTTAGTGCTCTTTATTCAAAAATCAACAAAAACGATCCCGTTTTACTCTTGCATTAGTGAAAATTGATGTTGAATTAGTGAGCTTCCTTAGTGGTTCGACCCTTTACTTGCCACTAACTAGTTTGGTATAAGTTTAGGTATTATAAATGATTAATTTGATTAGGGTAGTAGTTTAACGGCCTATTTAACCCTCGATCAGTACCAGGGACCATCCGTCCTATATATTCTACTAGTTTGCTTCGTTCGGGGCATGGTGTCCTACACAGGCACAAACACGGTTGTATTTGGAGAAGTTCTCAAAGGGGAGTCCTCGAATGAGCATTCGACCTCTCCTAGTTCTAGATTTAGCCGTCCCCGGTGACCGGCTGATCGCTAACCTAGGTCGTGCCGGGTGCATTGGGGAAACCACTTTCGAAATAAGAAAAGAAACAAAGCTTAAAAAAGAAGAGCAAATAATTATTACCTTACTAAGTAAAGGTACGATGAGCCGCTTGGAAGATCTGGTCGTCTGCTTATAGGCTGGCTGGTGGCTGAGCGTCGGACGCTTTCACAGAAGAGGACAAAGTTCTCAAATTTTAAGATTCAAAGGTTCTCTCTAAAATTCACACAAACGTGTGAATGTGAAGGAAGGGTCAACCCCTATTTATAGAAAGGGTGAAAAGTCTAGGGTAAAAACCCTAGATTCTACCAATAGTAAATGATAAAAGGTCGAACAAATGATTGAGCGACACCTGTCATATGCACCACGTGGCATGCCACGTGACCCCTGTGAGGGGAACACAATTTGGGTATTTCTACCCCGCCACTTGGCACAATATGAGCTTGCCACGTGTCACCTGAGAAGGCCTCTAAAAGGACCTCCCAGGGGTGACACGTGTCAAGCAGATACCCCTTCAGGAATTGGCGGCCTTCAAGGCCTAATTCCTGAAGAAGCCGCAAAACGACGCAGCCCAAATCCCTAGGTCATCAAACCCTAGGGTAGGGCACACTAGTCTAGATTACCTATAAAGTACGTCTTAATCTTTACATCATTTATTGCTCTCGAAAATAGAGAACACATTATCTCGGAATCCAAGAAGATATTTACTTTCCGCACGTTTTACTCCAAATCCGTACTAACTTAACCTCTGGAGGCGGACCTCCGAACATCCGGAGCTCCGTTGTTTTGCATGTACAGGCGGCTTCGTTGGACCTAGTTTTCGAGTTGTAACTCTCCCAAGGGATACAAAAACACCCGAAACAACAAGAAAGAGCAAATGAGAGCTAGAAAAGAGGAAGGTAATGTGTTAGGATAGAGATAAAGAGCAAAGAGGCAAACAAAAATGGTGATGATGTGTAGTTGGCTAGTTTTTCAGACAAAGTAAAGTAATATAGGTAAAAAGAATGAGAGAACATGAGAAAATTTACTTACACTTTGTTTGGATTGAAGGAAATGGAGGGAAAAGAAGGGAAGGAAAATAGAGGGATTAATTATTTTTCATTTGGATAACAAATGAGGAAGGAAAGGGATTGAAGGAGAGAAATAAAAGGATAAAAATATAAAAAGTTAAACTCTCCAACAATGGGGAGATTTGGAAATAAAACTCATCTTTCTTCCTTACCCTCCCTTCACCTCCCTCCCCTTCTTTTCTTTCCCATTTTTTTTTTTTTTTAATCCAAACACACCATTAGTTTGAGTGAGAGGGTAGGAGTGACTCAGAAATGGTAGGTGTGTGTATGAGTCGAATGATGTTGCCAATGAAATGACGGTTAGAAGATATAACACTTAATAACCGATGTAAAGCAGTTGTTCCAGAACTCATCAAAATCAGTAATAAAATGCTTGTTGTCAAGGAAAGCAGCAGAAGATGCGATTTGTAGAGACATTTTAAAATACTCACACGTTAATCAGTGCTATTATATTTTTTGTATAAATATAAATAAGTACTTATACACAATCAAAAATGCCACATTTTGCAAATTTTATGAATTTTATTCGAGTTCGAAAAATTTTCTGATCCATCGTCAAGATTGGATGCAAATGAGAGTATAAGCATTTGGCTTTTTCAGAATTGCAGTGCAAGATAACTTTAGAAGCTACAAAATGAAAAGATTGGTAAATGAACATTAAGCCAAACCTTAAATGGACACCTACATCAGCAGAAAGGAATACAGAACTATTGCTAAAAGTGCTACGTTCATAGATAAGCCCGTTATGAAATCTCACATAACACCTTGATTATTGAACAAGGATAATAATTCTCTCAGAAATAACTTCAAACAATGACCATCATCTCTTTAAGATTGAAGAGCAACCGGCATTCTAATAGTTAGTAGACATGCAATGCCCTCACGTGTTAATTTATTGCTCGGTCCACCTATAATTATAACGATCCTGTGTACAGACCAGGGATTCAGTATACTAATATCCTGACGCTGCATGCAAATACCATACCATACCAATTACAAGATATAGCCATATAGGTGTGACATCCCATAGAATTGGGTTAATAAAGAGACTAAACGAGTAAAAATAGGGTATTTCCTAGCATAAAGTAGGTGCCAAAATCATTCCCTTGCCATCATCAGGAAGCAGTGAAGCACCATCAGATACGAATGCGGGGCAATAAGCAAATTAGGTAAACAATCAACATTGCCACCTCAGTCAACCAAGCCCTTAGGTGCAGTATACAACGCAAAGATCTGATTCCAGCCCTCGTATCATGAGCTGCTGTCTATACTACTTTACCATGTTGGTCCAAGGTTGGCCTGCAAAGATAAAGACTGCATTATAAAAACGATACCAATAAATGCAGCTACATGAGATTAAATTAAAAATTCGATGTTGTCACATATCTGAAAAACCTGTAGAGCAGGTAAAGCTCCGATGGACAAATTCTAACATTTAGAAATGAGAATTTGAATCCCATTGCATTACCCCGTTTACTGGATTCACTTTCACCACACAAGTACATAGTGCGTGATTGAAGTAAACCTCCAAAGAGATGCTTCCCTTACTAATTCTTACATATAAATGCTAAGATCTGAAGAACGGCAATATGAACATTTAAGCATCATCTATTACAATGGGTGACTGTAATAACAGTTGACAATGTCAGCTATTTGCACTGTCATAAAGCATGTTCTCATGGCACTATTGCTATATTATCATATCTTCCACAAAAATACACATACATTAATTCAGAGCTAGGGTTAAAGTTTTAGTTTCTTCCATGTTGCTGAGAGGTCAGGGATCAACAAAGTAATTGTACCTACTCACATAAGTCAAACCTGCAAAGTTTTCAACTCTAGTGGTAGGACATTTTCAGGTCGGAGAGGGGGAGGGGGAGGGTGAAGGGATCAGCCGTTCATCACATAAGAAAACACGCAAGGCAAAGATATCAGTCATTTCATGTAGAAACAAAAAGTACAGCAACAGACAACTTGTTATATAAAGAGATGATGTTAACACTACACAAGCAAAGAAATATGAAGAGAAGACTTAGCCTGATAGGCAGTCAAGGTTGTTGCTGAGATATAATCAGCAAAGGGTCTCAACTTTGATCAATGCAGCAATCACAAAGGCATCTACTTTTGTTTAAGAAGAAGTTTTAACTATTATTTGTAGCAATATTATTGATGCAAATCAACATAAGAGTAAATTCTCATACCACCAAATTACAGGCATTGCCTTCTAGAGAGATTTCCTAAACATCTGCAACTAAAAAGACAATAATTTCTATTCAGTCTTTCACATTTCTGCTATCGTTCTTTCACGAGTAGGAGTATTGAAGGTCAACAAACAAGCAATACTCAAACAGATTTAACAATGATCCACAGATCCACATATGAGAATCTCGTCATACAAGCACTTCAGAACTCTTATTCTTAATAACAAACTATTAAAACAAATTCTAACTGTTTTGAAAACCACATTACACACACCAAAGAATAGGCTGACACTTTCAAAAATAAATGATGAGTATCCAATTACCCATTCAAGAAGTAACAACTTTCTATTGAATTGAACCAACTAATCTGGAAAACATAGCTGCATAAGACATCATCAGGAAAATATATAAAAAAGAAAAATGAAATAGAACATGTCTAAAAAATTCCGAGTTTCTGACAAAGTAACATTTGGAAAACCTGTAAGCTGATTGCTAATATGTCAAAACAATTTTAGCAATAAAGTACACTAAGTCTATGTTAAGCAAGACCACCTATTCAAAATTACCTCCCGCTCATTCATCAGTCATGCTACTACACCTGTGCTGCATCAGGGCTACCACACAATAGCAATACTGACCATGGATTCAAGGATGACATAAAATTGACGCATGCAGTCATCATAAGCTCTCTCAAACTCTTAATAAAATATACAAGACTTGAAGCAACAAACACACTTTTTAGCTATTATGTAAGCACTAACTGCCACTAATAAGCTTTCAACATTGATTACATGCCACAGCAATACAGCTTTGCAGTAGCGACTCACCAATTGAGAAATGCTGTCAGCAAAAAGTATAAGTTCTTAATTAATTTTCCAGTAAAGAAACATGCAACCAATAATGAAAAGGCAATCAGCATACAAAACACACAATGCAACTATTTAATACACAGCTCTTACAAGCATTTCCATGTGGTGAGATATAGTCTTGATGCTACGTCACAGAATCGAGATATAAAAATACATCATAGAAGCAATATAAGAAAAAAAAAAAAAAAAAAAAAGCAAAATACTTAACTAAAATTCACAAGAATTCATTCACAGAAATAATGGTCCGCTTACTAAAGCATTAATGTGAGAAGAAGCATAATATACTTCAAAATACACATATCTATCTAACTTCTAGTGTTTCTTTCTCATTAATTATTCTTAATGTGATAAGTCTTGTAGAGAAACAATAGGATATACTATTACATGTTCTTAACTCTTAAGGAGGTCGGGGAACTAGCTGTAGCCATACACATCACTTTCAGGTTACAATTAAATTTTCTAGAATTAAGTAACGTCATTATGACTCCAAAGACCCAATGATATTAACAGAATACATCATTTAATCTTTATACAATATATATACAAGTGCCCACTTAATTAATTATGAAATAAGCACACAGTATTCAGCACCAAAGAATTAGCAAAGGAAATTTCCCTCCTGATAAAAACTTTAAACACAACAACCTTCACAGTTCACATGGGTGATTGTCATGTGTTACACATTCTTATTCAAACCCAAAAAGAATTACAAAAACAAGCAGCAATTACAAGGAAAAAAGAAAAAAAAAATAAAGAGTAATAAACCTCATTTTAACCTTATGCCGCTCCAAAACTCTGGAGCTTTTCACAATGTGGAGTTGGCAGATTACGACTCCACTGACGGCGTTGCAGTTCAATGTGGCAATAGCGTCCCAGCAAGTTCTTGTAGTCCTGTATAACATTTTCCTCAATATTTTCTCTAGCAGCACTTCCTAAAGGATAGCTTCGATCAAAGTCTGGTGACTTCACAAAGAATTCAACTCCATATTTCTCAGTCACTCTAGGAAATTGATAAGAATAGTTTCTTTGGAGAGAGTATTCAGGCTCTGAGAATGGCAGATATGCAAGCAACAAGATCAACAAGAATGGCACCAATTGTAAGAACACCATGAGATTAGGCCCTCCACCATTACCCTCTGCCCTTTGCGGAGTGCCCATTCCCCTAGTCCTATAGACATGAGATGTATGGAACATGTTTGTCTGACCAAAAAAGGCCCTAAATATTTCATCAGGGTCAAACTCATCATCAAAAAAGTCATTATTAGTCCTTCGTCTACGCCTTCGAACATTATGCTGTTCATTATACTCAAAATCATCAACCAAACCAGTCTGATCATACTGCCTCCTCGAATCCTCCTCACTTAAGCACTTAAAAGCCTTGCAAACCTTCTTAAACGCCTCCTCTGCACCTGGAGCTTTATTCTTATCAGGGTGAACCTTCAAAGACAATTTCCTATAAGCCTTTCTAATCTCCTCTACAGAACATGTTTTCTCTACCCCAAGTACCGCGTAATAATCCATATTCTTGGTAACCTGCTTAATCAATTTCACATGTTCTTCCGTATAATTCCGCTCCCCATTAGATACCTCACCAGATTTAGGTCCCGATGAAACCCCGGTTTCACTCTTGTCAACATGACTACCATTCTCAGAAGGGCCAGAAGCGGAGGAATCCATCTTTTCACACACCGCAATCAAATCATCAAGAGACAAAGCGCTATTAAGCCGCTGCGCAATTCTAATGAATTTAAGAGCACGATCCTTGTTACCAGATGCAATCGCTTCTTTAGCAATACCAATACACTTTAAAGCCTCATCCTTGTTACCATCCATGACTTCCACCACTACTAATACCAACCTAACTCAATCAATCAATCAAACAAAACCCTAGAATTAAAAATTCAGAACCCTGAAAAAACCCAATCAAAAATTCGAAATTGGGTTCAACAGGGTAAATTCTACAGCTGCGATCGACAGATTAAAAAGCAGATCTATGTATCAATTCCGATCAAGTTGACCTAAAATTTGCAAAAAAATCGAAATGAAATTAGGGGTTTGAAGTTGATAATCAAGTAATCATACAAAACTTAAATAATTTGGAATAATCGGAAAATTAAGTGTGATTAATCAGAAATTTAAAGCTGCAGATCCAATCAGAAATAGAAATTAGAGAGCAAATTGAGTTACCTTATAAACGAGGCCATGAAATCGAACTCAGATGTGTGTAGGTGTTGGTAAGAGGAGAGAGAGTCTGGAAGACGGGAGATGGAGGAATAGTATAAAATGCGAGCACAAGAATACAAGATTATAAGCCTCGCAAGGAAGCCAAATATCTATGTTTTTTTTTTTTGGAAAAATTGCGGAAAATAATACATTTATTAAGCAGTTCTTTTTTAATAGTATAACCTTTTGATTTTAAACAAGAAAAAAAACTTATAACTTCACCTTTGACATATGTCGTTATGTAATTTGTCTAAACATTAAATTTTAATTTATATTTTTAAAAAAATTTATTTACAAAAAAAAATAAAATAAAACCCCCTGCCGCTCAGCTAGTCAGCTCCATGTCCAGCCCCCTCCCCCGCTAGCCGCCGGTGACAAGCCCACCTCCCCCACCCCGACCCTACTCTCCTCCACGATCACATTCTCTTCTTCATTATCATGCTTGCGCCCCGACATCACCATCAATCACAAATCTTAATAAATCAATCACATTTTAATTTATGTAAAACGTTAATCGTGGTTTTAACACTTGGCATGATCCATTGTTATGCAGGCGACTCCATCGATTTATATTTGTTATAATGCTACAAGGCATAGCAAACTCTTGGTGAGTTTAGGTTACAGTTATCGTATTATGGTGAAGATTTGATTTGATTAGGAATATTAATTGGCACAAGACAGAGTTTTTGGTAATTTGTCATTTGTTATCAAATGTCGTTAATATAGTTATACTTTGTACGCTAAATATGCACGGCCGTGTAACTTGATGTGGGTAAGTAATATGTTTCCGATAATTATTATTTATCATGGTATCATAGTGTCGTTTGCATAAAAAAAAACATTAACAGTATACATGGTCGGAGACAAACCGCCACCACCACAACCACCGTAACAGAATGATACCTAGGATCGGAGATGATGTATTTTATTTTTTTCAATTTACTTTTTACGTAAAAGGGCCCTTTTAATATATGTCTTGCATAATTTTTACAGCCAATGGAGAAATGGTTTGGTGATCTCACCAAAGACGTGACCGAACATAAGTTGTATCAGGGAAAGATTGGTGAAAAAAGTTGGGACATCCGTATATCCAAAAGGAGGGGATTGTACACTATCAGCAAAGGGTGGAAAGAATTCGTCCAAGACAATGAGTTAGTTGATTGAGACGCAACCAAGCTGTACTATTGCTTCTATGGAGAGATGCGAATCAAGGTTAAAAGGAGTCAGTTTGTACTCCATCCTCTCGAAAACTATGCACCCGAGACTTTTGATCTTGCCATAGGATCTGGTCACGGAAGAAATCATCTCTTGCGAGTTCATCTGCGACAGTTACAAGCACAAGAGAAGGAGTCGAACGGTTCATTAGGGATAAAGGACTAAAGCGGGCTTTTGCGATGATGTGGAATAAATCATACACTACCAAAGGCATTATTGTAAGCTTATATTTTTTTAACGTATTTTTTATATTTTAATAGAGTCTAATTGAATTGATTATATAATAATGTGAATGTTGCAAGTTCATAATTTAAATTTAAACTCTTGTAGAATATCCCGTTGCACTTTGCCAAGAAATACCTCAACCATAGTGACTTCAACGGAGGAGTGGCTTATGTCAGCTAGTCGAACGAGGATGCAAACCTTGAAGGGGAGGTTAAGTTGAAGGCGGAATATACAAGAGATAAGTTGACCCGATGTGTTATTCCTAATGATGCCATAAGAGACTACATTTAAAGGCATGACATTGTTGTGGGCCAGGGAATGGCCATTATGTTCAAGCGCAGTGAAGATGTTTTGACCTTCTATGCGTGGCTTGTGTAATTTGTCTTCAAATTTGTGAAAGTAATCTATTTTTCAACATATATAATGCGTAAATTTGTTTAGTTATAGTAATTCAATTAGTGTTATATACTCCTGGATTATACTCATGGGTTATGTACTCTATACCAATTATGTTTGAGTTATTTTGTCTAAACAGTAAGTTATTTGTTTAAATCTTGAGTTATTTTGCTAAAATTGTTTGTTATTTTCTTATTTACTTTAACATGTATAAAAAAAACAAGTAAAAATGAAATAACATGTACTTATTGAAAATTTAAAATATATAAAATTTGAAATAATAATAAGTTTATATTAATATAATATGAATTTTATAGAATTGGAGTACATTAAAAGAATCGATTTTGAATATTATCAAATTATAATATACAATTATAAAATAATATGTATTTATTTCAAAATAACATATATAAATTTAAATAATAAACAATTAATATTAAATCAACAAAAATTTTAAAAACCTAAAGCTCGATTGTCGTATTTTGATACTAGTTGTTGAACATTTAGATATTGAAACATAGTTTATTCCATATATAGTTTTATGAAATCTTAGTTAAACATTGAGATATTAAAACACAGTTAAGTATTAGAAATCAAATTTTTTTATATGTATATGTGTTTTGTGAATAATCACCTTATTAAAATTAAAGTGAGTTGAGAATATTTTAAAAGATAAGTACTTCTTTGTACGAATCTTTAATTATATGCGATTATCAAAAATATTAAATCATATCTATATCAAATGATATCTTTGATTATTTGTGCATATTAAAGATATCAAATGATATCCATATTGATAAATACCCCATTAATATAGTGGGGACACAACAGAGCTATATTAGGTATAGAACAAGAGCATGCAAAAATGGGTATAGCCGTTTAGGATAGGCATGCCTATTGCCTGTAAGACTATATATGGTAGTATATTCACAAACATGACAAGTCATGCAAATTAGCTTTATTTCTATTTTGGGTGCCTTGAAAGGGTGGGAGTAGTAGATTATAGTTTGCCGATTTTCAATGCTTTGCTATTTTCAATGATTTGCTATTTTTAATGCTTCAACTTTGATTCTCTTTGTTAGATATAATCAAAGACACCATTACCTAGAAGGCCAGAACAAATAATGACACTAGATAGTCTTAATTTGGTACTACCCATATCCTGTAGACTTTTATTATTCTGAACATGGGAACAATTGGGTATATAAGAAAGTATAGACCCTTTAGAGTCCAACAGTAGATAAAAGAAGAAAAACAGACATTGAAACTTTGACAAAAATCGTAACGTATTGGGTTGACTAACATACGGAAGTGGAGCATTTGCAAGTTTCTAGGTGTAGACACCTACTTTTGGCCTCTTGCCCCAAAAGGATCGGAAGTGCGATGATGTTACAAAAATCTGTTCTTCATGTTAGATCAAAATTGAAATGTTTTTGGACTATGAAAAGAATTATGAAGTAATTTGAAACCCATATTTGAGAACAAGTTATCTTAGAGCCTTGTCCGATTACTAATTAGGCCTAAAACATGTTCATACATGTTTAAACTTGATTAATAACGGACTCAAATGCGTCAAATGCAATGATTGGATCCAATGGAACCTACATTGTTAAAAATCGAGTCAAACAAATAAACCAACCATCAAATTCCCATAAAAGGCCTATACAGATGGATATCCCTTTCAAAGAGCTTTCCAGCGGTATATTATAATCCCAATTCTGAGCCAAAACGAAGAAGTTATGATCAAAACACTAAATCGGGCCTAAAACCGACACCCTTGCACTCCAACGGACAAAACTTTTGATCCATAACATATTTTAACCTAATTCTAATGGAATTGGAAAGTATACATTCAGAGATTTCCAATGATATCTCACACGCCTTAATCCGACTTCGCAATCAAAAGTTATGGAAGTTTTAAAAACGCGTTTTCGTATAAGGCAAATTGCAAACCAGCGCAACTCAATTAGTTGCGTGCGCGACTCATTGAGATGCGCGTGGCACCCCAGCGCGACTCTGAGAGTTGTGCGCGCCACCTGACAACGCAACTCTAAAACCCTAAACCTAGATCCCTACGCCTATAAATAGGGGTCTTCGTTCAGCTTTACGGGGACCGGAAAAATCAAAATTAAAACCCTATTATTCTCAAAACCCTAATCTCTCTACTTCTCTTACTATCATACTACTTTTCCCTCTTTTTTCCCAACTACTCTTCAACCCTAATCCATCCATTGAAGTCCTTGGAGGTATCAAAAATAAAGAAAGTCCATACACATTAAACGGAGATTTAACATAAAAGAAGAACGGTTAGTTTCCTGAGCACTTAGATAAAACAATTTTCCTTTATTGTTTAAATAACTTTAATTGAATAAATAGTGTTGTTTGATCACTTTAAACAAACTTTTAATTAATTAATTCACATAGTGCTCTTTTGTTAATCAAGACTAGAATTGGAATAATTAATTGTTGTTTTATCACTTAAGATAAGGCGAATCTTGTTTATTTATTGTTCTTTCACGAATATTATTAAATAAGAATAACGACTTTTGCAATGTAATTCCTACGTGATTAATGCTTGTAAATAAAATCAACTAACTACGACTTTAGGTATCACGTTGCATATATTGTTTGGTAATGAAATTGTGAAAAAGGAAGAGCTAGTAGAGGTTGTACTAGGGCTAGAATAGCGATTCCTCCCTAAAAGGAACGTTATTTTAGTACCCTCACTCCCGAACTCATTTCTGGTTTATGTAGACCAATTTGGGCATGGGTAAACTTATGGTTTGTGCTAATTATTCCATGAACCCCACATGGAAGAAAGGCATGAACGAGGTTTATGAGTTTTCCTAAAACTCATTGGCGACTCCTACTTGTTTCTTACAAAAAAGCGTGATGAGAATATCATTTCTAATTCAAGGTCTCCCAAATATTCAGGAATTCAAATCCTAATACACCCTAACAAGTGTAAAGTCTTAGGCTTTTAAGTGGCCAAGGGCATTTTAGGAGAGTATCTCTTACGATGGGATCACCCTCTTTACACTTAGGATTCCGTGTTGTAATACTAACATAAAATAGTAAAGAGTATGATATTATTAGCTTTAAATTATTAAAAACATTGTACTTCATATTATATTAACTTACTCCGTTTCTATTTAATTGACACACTTTTTTAATCACGTTTGCGAATACAATAATTCAACCATTAATATCTGTTTTGATGATTAAGAAAATTTACCATCTCTATGGCTTTAAAAATGTTTTGAAATTATGTAACAACCTTTTTATTACTTTGTTTATCAATTTTG